GGTTGTTAAGCTGCACGTCATTATTTTAAGTAAGGTGGGCTCCAAAAATATCATCCTTGCGGTCTTCTGTCCATGCGCAATTGGTCAACGCTACGGTCCCTCACTCGTACTCCATCGTTCCCCACAACGCACCCTCGTCATTCCCATCAAGCATATGTCATGACGATAGTATCACCACGCCTAACTTATTGATGTCAATGTCAAACGTTGATTCTCTCGGTTATAAAACTTTCGACAGATAATCCAACCTCATCAAGTTATCAAGCGCATAAATTTTACAAAAATCCGACTGCGTCCGACATTTAAAATTTCGGGCAGATTAAGGTTTTTGCCTCGACAACACAAAGCAAGGCAGTCATTGAGTTGCGCTCCGGTAGTCATCATATGCAGAAAATACAAAAAAACGGTAGTGTATCTTTTCATGTTAGAGGGGGAGATTCATTCCCATTTTCCCACATTTGGTGAATAGCAGAGAGAGCACGAACGACACTCGTGCATTACAGATGCACTCCTGAAAATAGATCTTTCACTGCAACGTGGAAATATGCATAGTTGAGAATATCATTGGACCTCACTCCATTATCTACGTCATGCAAAAAAGACAAAAAAACATGGCAGAGCATCGTTCCATGTCTGTTACCTTCAAGAAAAAGTTCGGACCATTTCTCAAGTTATGCGTGTCATCCTTGTGCACGAGTCATGCTAATCTTTCTGTATCGTTGCAATTTCACGGATTTCTTGGATAACATCATTTCATGTTCTAGTGTAAGATTCATTCTCATTTTGCACATATGGTAACTAGAGGAGCGAACCTCATTGTTCCATCGGATCTTCGTGTTCCACATTTCCTTCACGTTCGAATCGCAACCTACTATGTACTTGTATTTGAACGGTCAGGGAAAACTCGATGCGACACGTGCGCGGGGAAAAAAGGGTTAACTGGTATCCGCGCTTTTCAGCCATAGGTTTTCATGTCGTTGCTTTATTTGGTGTCCACTCGATGGACTGGTGACAAGTCAAGCTTTAAAGACGCGAGACTTTGGTTATAATGACCCTGAAAAGTCAACGAAAATTTAGGGCTCTGTTAACTGCTTCTCAAAATAAGAACTCACTGCCGGAACGATTGAAACTCGCCTCAACAAAAAGAGAGCACCTAAACGAACCGAAGCCGCCCCAGATATAAAACTGTCAGCTAATGCGCAAACCGATAAAACGAATGCTGAATTTCTTTTGGCTTGACCCCTACCCGGCTGGTTTTCCCAACATTGGTATCCGGGCGCCGTGGGAAAATATAGATATAGATAGCAATTTAGATAAAGTAAGTGTTAGGATCTGACTGCATTTATAAAGCAGAACTCAACTTTTAGACTGGGTAAAACTTTTGATATGTAAGTGGAAAAAAAAGTATGAAAAAACGAAGAAGGTTTTAAGAAAAATAAATACTCAAGTTTAAATCGATGACATCTCCTTCGTTTATCTTCCAACTCCATCTTCTTCAACCTCATTTTATTTCAAAACAACAATTTTATTAAAATTGACGTTTTATATATTTTGAATGAAATCAAAACCCACTTATTTGGCGATGCAAACGTCACCGTTTTAGTTGCTTGGGGTTCCTCTTATATGTACCTGAACTTCAATTAAGTCCAAATGGACCCTCATAAGACAAAAGGTGATATTTTTTGGGCGAAATAAGTTGGTTTCAATTTCGTTAAGAAAAAAAAAATGTTCATTTTGATGAAATCACTGTTTCAACATTCAATTGCATAGAAAAGCAAATGAATGAATGAATCACACTCAAAAAATCATTGTTCATGCTCACACTTAAAGATTTTGCCATCAAGACCCAATCTTCTTCAATATCATTTGCTACAGAATAGTTATTGGAGAACATCATTTTATCACAACGGATGTTCATTGGACAATGCAACTATCGAAGTGTCTTTTCTTTCTTGTACGTTCACAATCATCGGGAGATCACATCAAACTTCAATTGGTACTTTGTTTGTAGTGTATTAGGAAAAATATTGAACGACTATATTAAGGATGACAAAGTAAGAGATCTATAAATTTTGGGTAAAATTAAATAAGTCGACTTTCAAAGGAGTCACACAAAAATTACTACCTGTTTATTATGGGTTGTGCGTAATTCTTAAAGTGATTGGGGATCAGGATATACCATTTTGTGTTATTGATCTACCCCCACATGTCATGGCACATCACATTGCTCACGCATCTAAACTACTACCTTACATTAAGTTGTGAGAATACTAAATCATGATATTTTCGTACGTGTGGAAGAATAAACCCTCAGAAGCAGCATAGGGTAAAACTCACTTCTCAACCAGAATCTGAAGGCAAATGGTTTAGTGAGAAATAATATATACCTAGTGTAGTAGTTACAGTTGTTGTCTATGAATGAGGGGTAAAAATTGCGTAGCATGCTGTTCACGTTCGCGACCGAATGCGAACGGGTCGAAAAACCGACCGAACGCGAACGTATTTGTTTTTTGTTTTTTTTTATATATGGGTCTTGGAGGGTTGGGGAGGGATTAGGGGGGGGGTTCCCAACACTCTGGGGGGGGGAGGAGGAGGGGACAGACAGACAGACAGACAGACAGACAGACAAACAGACAAACAGACAGACAGACAGTCAGACAGTCAGACACACAGACAGACAGAAAGATAGACAGACATGCAGACACGGATAAACAATCAGAAGATAGACAGACAGATAGACAGACAGCAAGACAGACAAACAGAAAGACAGACAAACAGACAGACACGGACAAACGGACAGCAAGACAGACAGACAGACAAAACGACAGGCGGACAAAGAGCCAGACAGACAAACAGACAAACAAGCAAATAAACAGACAGGTGGACAGACAGATAGACAGACAGAAAGACAGATAGATATGCAGACACGGACAAACAGACAGAAAGATAGACAGACAGACAGACAACAAGACAGACAGACAAACAGACAAAAAGACAGACAGATAAACAAACAAACAGACAGTCAGACAGACAGACAGACGAACAGATAGACAAACAGATAGACAGGCAGACACGCAGACATGGACAAACAGACAGAAAGACAGACAGCAAGACATAGAGAGAGACAGACAGAAAGACAGACAGACAAACACGGACAAACAAACAGCAAGACAAATAGACAGACAAAACGACAGGCAGACAGAGAGTCAGCCAGACAGACATACAAACAGACGAACAGACAAACAGACTGAACGACAAACACACAGACAGACAGACAGACAGATAGACATACAGACAGATAGACAAACAGGTAGAAAGACAGACATACACGCAGACACGGACAAACAAACAGAAAGACAGACAGACAGACAGACAGACAACAAGACAGACAAACAGACAGAAAGACATACAGATAGACAGACAGACCTACAAACACGGACAAACAGACAGCAAGACAAACACACAGACAGACAAACAAAACGACATGCAGACAAAAAACCAGCCAGCCAGACAGACAAACAGACAAACAGACAGAAAAACAGACAAAAAGACAGACAAAACGACAGGCAAAACGACAGACAGATACACAGATAGACAGACAGACAGACAGAGAAGAAGAAGAAGAAGAAGAAGAAGAAGAAGAAGAAGAAGAAGAAGAAGAAGAAGAAGAAAAAAAAAGAAAAAGAAAAAGGAGATATGGCGGAGGAGGAGAAGGAGGAGGAGGAGGAGGAGGAGGACATAGATATGGTAAGGGGAAGAAGAAGAAGAAGAAGAAGAAGAAGAAGAAGAAGAAGAAGGAAAAAAAAAAAAAAGATATGGGAAAGGAGGAGGAGGAGATAGATATGGCGGTGGGAAGGAGCAAAGGAAGAAGAAGAAGAAGAAGAAGCAGAAGAAGAAGAAGAAGAAGAAGAAGAAGAAGAAGTAGAAGAAGAAGAAGAAAAAGAACTTGAAGAAGAAGAAGAAGAAGAAGAAGAAGAAGAAGAAGAAGAAGAAGAAGATATGGCGAAGGAGGAGGAGGTGGAGGAGGAGGAGGAGATAAATATGGCGGGG